AAAGCTTTAGATGGTTAATATAAGACAAAGAATGCTAATGTAAACCAATTAGGCCTCTTTATATGGATATGTCCTTATCTGTTTCAACTCAAATAACCACTGGTTTCTGGATTGGAGACAATAAAGAACAGCCAGTGTGATGATGCCTCTTCCACCGGATGCAGGAGCTGGGGTCTGACCGGGCCCTTGCATGCCCTGATAGCCTTACTATGTAGTGTTTCCACTTCTGATGACGGTCTATCCCCTTGGCTGTCAGTCCTAGTCTGCCTGATGTCTGTTCTAGCTGGTGTCCTACGAGAGTGATTCCCAGGGCCCTTTGCAACTTGTCCCAAGAAATTTAGATCAACGGAAAGCCTGGAGAGTCTGAGGGTGTGAGGGAACATGAAGGTGTGACTTGTCATCTTGCTCCTTTTGGAAGGTCCATAGTATAGTGGGAAACAGTGGCATCTTCATCATGATTCCAAGTTCTGCCAACAAAGCCTCTTTTCTAGAGTCCCAACTCCTGACAGATCCCACTGTTCCCACATTGCTATTCCCCCCAGGTGACCTGTCCCTAGGCTTTGGTGATCACTCCATCCTATTATCCGTCCAACGTAAGACTGCACAATGGCATCTCGATGCTGTTCTAGGCTCCCTTACAGCTCCCCTTCTCCACTCTTCGTTATCTTTGACCCTCTTCTTGCATTGAATTCTCTTTGTTGAAGGGAAATTTCTGATTGGACTTTGTGAGATACATAGGAGAAGATTCTGTGTAGACTCCTTGATCCCTAACCAGCCTCTGTTGTGCCTGTAACGCTTCACCCTCCACTGGGATGGGCTCTCATTCCAGCTGTAGATGGCATGTCTCTTCCTGATGGGTGGATATTGAGCAAATATTCCCTAAAAGTTTTTTAAAAAATTATGAACTGGTGGCCAAGCTAGAATGCTCAGTGTTAACAATACACTTAGTGGAGAAATCAAATCAAGCTTACAGCAAAACGGATCAGCCCTGTATCTGCACGTACTACCCAGAATCACTAGCAGCCTGCTCTGGAGCAGAGAGGGACATGGTTGCCTACAATTAGCCGCTGGCGAGCTGACAAGCTTTTACGTGACCTTATAGAACCTAATCAATATTTCCACAGGGTTTTGAGTTGTTGTCATTAAATGTTAAGGATTTGTTTTATTTCAGTATGTTTGCCTGCCTGTATATATGTATATCACATGCATTTGGTGCCTGCAGAAGCCAGAAGAATGTGTCAGATTCCCTGGAACTGGATTTACAGATGGCTGTGAGCTGCCACGTGGATGCTGGAATCTGAGCCTAGGTCCCGCAAGGGCATCACTCTCAGCTGCAGAGCCGTTTCTCCAGTCTCAAGTTGCTACTTTTTAGTCTTCCTTAATTTTATAGACTTAAAGAACAACATTCGTGTTTGCGTTTTTTCACTCTCAAATCTCTGTATGTTTTCAATTCTGTTATAAACTCCTGCTTGGTGAGTACCTTCCTCTGGTGCCTCCACTCCTTTCTCACCTTCAGGCCTAGGCCCTTGGACACTTCCAGGGATGGGAGAAGCTTTCCACGTCCTGTGTGTTGTCTCATCACATCTTTCACCAAGAAGAAACAGGTCTTATTAACAGTCCATCTTTAACTAAGCCTCCAAGAAGTAACTGCCCCTAGCCACACATAGCCTTTACGTGGGTGTTGGAATAAGAACCCAAATTCATCTGACTCTAATAAAAGTTGTCCTTAATTTCTATAGGCAAAACAGCATAGATGTAAGGAATAGGGGGCAACTGTAGCTGAAACTTGATTTCCAGATATCAGGAACAACCCCTTCCACCGTCTGCCCAAAGACCTCTGTGCCTTCTCCTCCCAGGTAACCCCCCAACATGGTAGTGGTGTTCAGCACAGGAAACAGAACTACTGATACTCATCTTCATATGCAGTCTCTCTCTCTCTCTCTCTCTCTCTCTCTCTCTCTCTCTCTCTCTCTCTCATGAAAGAAAGCTTGGAAAATGATCTTCCTTGCTGGGGAAGGCAGCCCTCCAGAAGCTATGTCCAATTGCACATGTCTCAGTGGCAGAGACCATGGGATTGATGACCTGATCCCCTGTTCTTTGCAGGACTTGTCTTCCAGGGAGTGGGGAAACTGCTGCAGGCCTATGCTGTTCATCTATTCTTTTTTTTCTTTTGGTTTTCCGAGATAGGGTTTCTCTGTATTTTTTTGGAGGCTGTCCTGGAACTAGCTCTGTAGACCAGGCTGGCCTCGAACTCACAGAGATCCACCTGCCTCTGCCTCCCAAGTGCTGGGATTAAAGGCATGCACCACCAATGCCCGGCTTCTTCATCTATTTTGCATACATTTCTGAAGTGAGACTCCTTTCTCCCTCCTATTCATGACTTGCCTTGGGTATAAACAGGAGCCGGTGGAGGGAGAAGGATGCCTCTTTCTGTGTGAACACAGTTCAGGGGAAGCTGATGGTGCCTTTTACAAGAGACAGAGTGAATAGAAGTTTGAATGCTATTCCTCAGGGCCTCTAGCCAGGTTTTCTGAAGTGTAGATTCAAAGCCCACCCCATCTCTATCCCGCAACCCCACCACTAACACTGCAGAGCCATTTCCTACTACCTGGACTTTAGCTCCATCTTTTCCAAAAGGCTTTTTTGCAAGCTCAAAGAATTAGCTTTATTGACTCGTCCTTCCCTCACCCTCTTCCCTAATTGTTTCTACAACATTCTAAAATGACAACACTGGTCTCTAGCTACTATTATCTGTCCTGTCTGGTCCATCGATGACATGAAGTTAAAGAAAAGTAAAATCATAGTTTTTGTGGCCATTATGCTTTTAATAGAGATATAAAACTTAGCAATGCAAAAGAATATTTAATATATCATTAGCATAGTGATTAACTTAAATTATGTTTTAATAATGTAAAATACAGTGTGTTGGACTTCAAAAGAGAAACCACAAAGTTCCCTGCAACCTATGATGTTGGGAAGGATCCTTAAATTGTTTTTACCCACCAACTTTGTAATACTCAGTGCCATTAAAATCATAATTTTTAAGAACACTGAGTGAGTCCATTTCCCCTGGAATGCATTCTCTCTGCTCCAATTTTAAATTGCTGAGTATATCTTTTAGAATTAACTGTTTTCAACTCTTACAACTTTGTAGTATCTGATTGCAGATCATCTCTAAGAGAAAGAGAAAACTCAATACTTTAAGCTGTGTTTTCTAGGGAGAAGGTAAACCCACTGAGGCTCACTCTCCTTTTATTTTTGTTTTGTCTTTATCTCTTTCCATCTTTATTCCATTGCTTCAATAAAATTATTAAGAAACACTTTTTAGGGGCTAGGGAAATGGCTCAGTGTAGGGCTGGTGTTTGATTCCCAAGCACATTTATGATAGCTCATAATCATCTGTAACTTCAGTTTCAGGGAATCTGATGCCCTCGTATGGCATCTTCAAGAACTGCATGCATGTAGTTCATATACATACATACAAGTACACAATATACATAAATATAAGTAAATAAATATTTTAAAGTAAAGGTTGATATATGCAGGAACTATACTACAAGTGGCTATTACAATTGACATGCTCAAATGTAATCAATCTCTTGTTGTGACCAAAAAAAAAGTGGTCAGTAAGACTGTTTGCTAATGCAAGCAGGAGGATCTGGGTTCAAATTCCAAGCACCCATGTAAAAAATCCTGGCTTGCCACACATGCCTGAAACTTCAACATTGGGGGCCAGAGGCAGACAGATCATAAAGGATTTGTGATCAGTCAGGCTACCTACATACTGAGTTATATTTTTAGTGAGAGTTTCTATCTCAAAGAAATAAGGCAGAGAATAATAGAGGGAGATCCTTACATCCTCCCCAGGCCTCCACCTGTGTGCATGCGTGCGCGCACACACACATACACACACACACTCACAGACATGCATACATATGCACTGATATACACACACATGAATACATCATACCCAACCATAAATTTGCACATGAACATACACCCACATACAGACATGGATGCACCAGGACTCAATCATCAAAAAGGTCAAAACTGAAGAATTACAAACCACTCATAGTCTATAGCAATGTTCTGTAAACCTTGAATTTAAAACTGCATTTAAGACACCAGAGGCGTCAAAAGCACTTGGAACCTACAATGTCTCTGGAAGAATCCAATCTCTTTGACACGGAATTCCCACATATGTCTTGGAAAATTTTTGTTTCTGGTATATTTGGTGAATGAGTGTGTATTTTCTAGTCAAAGAAAAAGAGAAAAGCCAGCAAGAGCTGTCAGTCTCCCAAGGAGTCAATGTTTACAGAGCTGGAGGTGGGGAGATGGGGGTGGTAACCTATTTCAGATATCCTAGGGGGATTTACCTAATAAGGACTGACATTCTCACTTTCCTTATGTGTGTTTGCATACATAAAATAACTCCACCCACCCCAGCCTTTCCAGTGCTGGGATTAAAGTTGTTTCGTAGCACCCTGGCCGGGTCCAGCCTTGATATGAAGAAGCCTGGCCGGGTCCAGTCTTGATATGAAGAAGCCTGGCCGGGTCCAGTCTTGATATGAAGAAGCCTGGCCGGGTCCAGTCTTGATATGAAGAAGTGCCTTCGGCAGACAGCCTTGCCTTTAGTTGCCCCTTCCTCCAGTACACACTCATGGAGACCCTCTCTGATTCTGATTTTTCTAAGCAGTACCCTGCTTCTTTTATTCATTCAAGCATGCTTTACCTAGAAACAAGTTTCTCTCTAAAGCAGCAGTCTTGGGACTGGAGAGATGGCTCAGTGGTTAAGAACACTGGCAGTTCTTGCAGAGGACCTGGGTTCAATTTTCAGCACCCACATGGCAGCTCATAGCCATCTCTTGCCTCCTGTTCCTGGGAATCTATGCTCCTAGGAATCTGGCCTCTATGGGTGCTGAGCACACATGATACACAGATGTCCGCGCAAGCAAATATACATATGTAAAACATAAAAATAAGTAAGTCATAAGCACCAGTGGTTTTATTGTAATTTTATTCATTTGAATAGATATTTATTGGCTCTTATCATGTATCAGATGCTATGCTAGGACTTCAGATATAATCATAGCCAGGAACTCATTCAGTTGTCATCTTGACTAACGCATGTTAAAAACATAATCTAAAGTGGAGAGAAAATTCAAAACTCTCAGCATTCAGGAAGCTGAAGCAAGAGGACCTTGGGTTCAAAGCCAGACTGGGGTATATATAGAGAGACTCTGCCTTAAAAACAAGATGCTGAGAATAAGCAGGAAGCCTAAACATTATAGTTCCAGGGTTCTGATGAAGAGCATGGGTAGACTCAGGTTGGTGGGGTCAATGTCTTCTGGAACATGGATGGCGGTAGAAATTAGCAAAAAAAAAGTCTAAGGTTTTTGATCAGATGTGTAGGAGCAGATGTGTGGGAGGAGTCATGAGAAGCTAGAAACGAGGCAGGAAAATAGGAGTAGTGGTGAAAATGCCAGCAAGATAACCATCTGCTCTGGCCCAAGACATTGTGTTAAAGGCAGGCAGAGCTACAGAGATGGATTCTGAGACAAGTTTCTCTTTTGAGGACCCTCAAATAACACCATATAGGTGCTCTAGTACAATGCATGGAAAAGCACGTCCTCATATAAACTCTGAGGCTCTTATGTCATTATAGTCATGAGTCTTTCAGCCCAGAAGTGACTACGCCCTAATGCATGCCATTCACACATGAATGACTAGAAGGCACTTCCCAAATCACAGGTTGCTTTACTCAACACACAACACCCTGTTTCCACTCCTTGTGTGGCTGCTTTGAATAGTACTTGTCACTCTTAGAGCTTCTCCTGGAGGAACCCATCCCACTTGCAGGCATAGAGCAGTCTCACCCCAGTGTTCTGAGCTAAGCAAACACTCGCCGGGGAATGTTCCAGAGCTCTGCAGCTGAGGGAACGGAAGCCAACTCACAGGCTGACTGTGTAGCAGAGCCCAAAAATAAGCTGGTCAAATTACACCCTTGCATTCTGTAATCCTAACCGGGAAGTAAAAGCATGAACTTCTAAGAAGAGATGATGCCCCATGTGTGAGTCTGGATTAAGGGAATACCAATTCATGTGCCAGTCAGACTTCAATGACAGCAGCTGGAGGGGCAAGTTAGTGTGCATCGAATACCGCAAGATTGGCACACAGAACACCCTCAGTTTGCAGATGGTTGGGACTGGTTTTGTATCTTGGTGCTGGCCACGTGGGCAGGAAGAAAAAAGCCTGAAGATGAAAGAGGCCTAGAGAGACACTTAGAGGCCACAAGGTACCCCACCCCAGGACCAGTCAGGTCCCACACTGTTTTAAACCATTTGTATCCATTACAGAGATGCTCTGTCTCTCAAGGAAATTTGGGAGAGATTCTGATCTTTACAGCCAAATGAAGCCAACTAAGAAATCCAATTCCGAGAATGAATTAGGCAACTCTTGGTAGGTTTGGAGCACATGATGCATGTGAAAAAGAATAAGTTATTTCCACATCCCCAAACTCTTGGCTCATTGTTGTCTAAGTGTATGCTAATCTGATGATTAATTTAATAAAATTCAGCCTATGAATTCTCAGATGATGCTTATAAAATGTTGCGATAACGTCATAACAGAAATCTTTCCACCACAAGCCAGTGCTTATTCAAGCTTCTCCGATGACTGCATTCCAGGAAAGATAAATGATATGTGTGACTGTACATAACCAAAGCACTCACCCCAGGCTGGGTCACTTAAACTTTCAGGGAAAGCAATGAGGTAAGCAGAAAAACCATAGCTATCACAACTGGGAAGAACGCCTTGTTATGAGTGGAGAAAGAAATGCATTATTAAAGCTGAAGTAATGGTTGTGTTCTCAGATTGGGGCCAAAGTGTGGTGGAATGAGACGAGCCACTCACCTGGCAGAGAGGAGCAGAGGAGGGAGTACCAGATGACTGAAGCCACAGGCCTGTAGATGACTAAAGACTAAAGACGCAGGCGTATAGATGACTAAAGACTAAAGACGCAGGCCTGTAGATGACTAAAGACTAAAGACGCAGGCGTATAGATGACTAAAGACTAAAGACGCAGGCCTGTAGATGACTAAAGACTAAAGCCACAGGCCTGTAGATGACTAAAGACTAAAGACGCAGGCCTGTAGATGACTAAAGACTAAAGACGCAGGCGGGTGTCAGTGCTGCCGGCCCCACCTCCGAATTGCGAACGGCGCTTGACTAATGCAGTCTTTGAAATCTGAAGTTTGTCTTCTTTCTCTCACAGCTTACTTTCAAATCACCATGTTGCATTTAAGCTTCTGCAGATGCGTCCAACGTGCAGCCCACAGATGTCCCAGGATAGCTATGAAATGCAACCACACATCCGTAGATGATAATGTCTATCGATGGCTAAAAAAAAAATCAAATGATTGGATACATCCAAGGACAATCCTCATTCCTGGGTATCATTCTGAAACCATTTTCTCTGTTGAAAAGGTTAGAGGGAGGTTTCTCGTTTCCTTTCCTCCCTCCCGCACAGATAGCTGGGATCATTGCAATTCCTTGCCCAGATTCTAGTAATATATTAATACCACCATACCACCTACTGCCTCAGTTTACTGTTTTACTTGTTGTCGGTTAGGTTCCTTAAGCATTCCCAGACATCTCATTCCATATGCAGATACTTTTGCTATCCGCAAAAGATAACAAACACGGTAGCTCTATTTGCTTGTTTAAGAGGGGAGAGATGGAAAACCGTGGACCTCTACAACCGCACCCCAGGCGCTAAGTGTTCTATTTTTTCCAGCCTCCAGGACCCCTGTTAATGGGGACAAGGCCATCTGACGTGTACAACTGGGACTTCATTTTCTGCTGTCATGTGGAATGTTCTGAATTAACTAGATATAACACTGGGTTTTGTATTTTTATTGAGCTTCTCAAGAGTTTATGTTGTTTCCAAAACTAGAACATGGGAGCAGTGTGCCATAAAGAAAAACACTTAAATTTAGACGAAGAATGTCTCAGCTCCAACTGGGATTCTTCCATTTCAATGAGGTTTCCTGCCACAGCTCTACTACGAAGAAAAATCTGGCTGTGCTATGCTGCAAATTACATCCATATCCTCCACATTTTAATTTGTATCTATTTTAAAACTTAATCTTAAAATATGGCACCAGATATGTTTACCTGCACACTCATTTTAGCAGAGCCTGAAGCATTGACTTATGTTTTTAATCCAAGAAAAACAACATGACTCCCCCTCCTCTCTCTCACACACAAAGTTCCCCTAAAGATTAAAATGTTAAGTGAGATAAGGAATGTGAAATGCTGGCTCACAGCAGACCACAGTAAATGATATCTATTATTATTACCTGGAAGCAAGATCCTGTAACGCAGGAAACCTGTTCCTTCCCTCGTAGGATTGAGCTCATGAGTCAACAAGAGGCTCAACTTTGATTTTCTGTTATGCCAGCTAGAATGTTACCAATTTAAAAAAGTAGGAAATAATTTCAATAGAGAGCACACTGATGTGATCTGGAATGACATTCAGAAGGACAGAAGGATGAGACAGGGCGTGTACTAAGAATTGGGTTTGATCCTTGTTTTAGCCATAAGCAAAAAGGTTGGGGAAAGGGGTAAAAACTGACTCGGGCCACCTTGAAGAGCCAAGGAGCTATGACTCAGCTCAGGGTTATGAGAGTCTGGTTTCACTTTCTAGATCTCTTTCACAGGCTCTAAACTAACCTGCTGGACAAATTGGCAGAAGAGGTAACCTCCACCGGGTTGTGTGCTCCCTAATGCTTTAGCTGGGGAGCAGTCTCCGAAGTCCTGCTGTGCTGCTTTGAGCTTGGGATTTCCACCTGCTAGGTCAGCGTATTTGCATCCCCTGAGCAGTCTGACCACAGCCCCAGAGAGGCAAGCCAGGCCACAGGCTATGGCTTTGACATCTCCCACCCTCCACCCCCAGAGCAACCGAAGCAGATTTTCCTGCGTCCCTGCAGCTTCATCCTAGCTCTGGGTACCATCCGGAGTCGGGCCGGATTTTCCTGGTGGCAGACTGCTGTTTGGTGTTGTTAGAAAGTGTTAGTTGTGGAAACCCTTGCTTTCCCCTGCTCCCTACCTGCCAATATGTGCTGATTCCTCCATTGTGTTCAGACCTGCATTTGCCCATTCTCCTCCTGGCCAGCAACATCACTCCCCAAGTCTGGTTTAAGAAAAGGATTTCCTTTTCTTGCAAGGCAGGTACATTCAACCACACACAAGTGATCACATCTTTAACAGGCAGTGAGGGCCACTGCACATTTATTCACTGTAAGACAGAGACATGTGTGGACTTGTCAGAAAATCCCTTCGTAGCCCACAATCTATCTCGGCGGTGAGTGTGAAAGCCCAGGAAGATGCTATGGAGACGGCTCTCCTGAGAGCACCGTTTGCAGAGGGCAGTGGAGCTCGCTTCGTCTGCAGAGTCCCTTTTGCTTCCAGCAGTCAGTGTTCAGAGGATGAGCACCAAGCAGCCATGGGAGTGAACTTTCTGTTCGTGTCAGAGTGCAGACGGAATTAGGAGTAGGTGAGAATGACTCAGTGAAATAGTTGGGCATCTGCTAGCACAGGGACACTGATGGAGCTCACCACCTGCTCCTCTGAGCAGGACGTGACTCACTGTTTGGAGAGGCTGGTTTCTAAGGAGACCACCAAGGGGCAGGCGGCAGCAGCTTGTAGGAACATGGTTTCATGTGGTCATTGGTACCTTGTTGAATGGCTTCCATGCTTGGCTAGGTACCTTCCAAGAAATCCTTCCTTCCCTTCCCTTCCCTTCCCTTCCCTTCCCTTCCCTTCCCTTCCCTTCCCTTCCCTTCCCTTCCTTCCCTTCCCTTCCTTCCCTTTCTTCCCTTCCCTTCCCTTCCCTTCCCTTCCTTCCCTCCCTTCCCTTCCCTTCCCTCCCCTCCCTTCCCTTCCCTTCCTTCCCCTCCCTTCCCTTCCTTCCCTCCCTTCCCTTCCCTTCCCTTCCCTTCCTTCCCTTCCTTCCCTCCCTTCCCTTCCTTCCCTTCCCTTCCCTTTTCTTCCCTTCCCTTTTCTTCCCTTCCCTTTTCTTCTCTTCTCTGAATCATAAACACACCTGTTAGTAACAAAGGATTTGTCTGTCCCCAGTGAACAACTGATTCCTGTTCTGAGCCATCCTCCACATCAGTCACAATTAGAATGACCTGTTCACAGCACGAAAGAAGGATTGAATTGCAAAATTGAAAAAGAGATGTGATACTCTAAGAAAAAACATTAAGTCCCGCCTGGCATGTAGGTCTCTGTGAGTTCCAGGCTAGGGTGGTCTACGTAGTGAGTCCCAGGCCAGTCAGAAATATATAGAGAATCTCCATCTCAAAATAAACAAACAAGAAATACTGAGCATATGGTGTATAGTTACATGATCATGGCTCATGTGCATAGTGCTCTCCAGATACTGGCTATAGTCCATTCCTTAGATGTCCCCAAAAGACCCACGTGTGAAAGACTTTGTCCCCTGACTTGTGATCCTGAAAAGTATACTGGTGGGAGGAGGGATCTAGGGACTGGTAGGATCTCCAAGGGGATGGTGGGACCCTGGTCTCTTTCTCTCTGTGATGCTTCCCCAGCATCAAGTTAAGTTTCTCCACAGGAGCTTCCTATGTTATGATGCTCTGCTACACATCCAAATGAAATGAAGCCTTGAGGCTGTGGATTGAAGGATCCATAGATGTGAACCAAACCACCTGTCCTCTTCATGGGTTCTTTCAAGTATTTTTGATACATTAATGTAAAACTGCTTAGCAGAATAGACACTGAAATAAAATACCCATAAATCTAGTCCCTACGCCCAGCAGAACTTGGGGGTATTGAGAGGTGGTGGTTTCCCAGCATGCAATGCTGTTGGAACTCATGGACAACAGAAAAATCAGTTACTATGGGCAGAGTGACACATACAGATTGCACCAGAGAAGACTTTCCACTCTGTTGGTTAGTCAGAATGCCAGTCAGTGCCCATAAGATAGCATAGAAGTCTGCTATATAACCCAATTTATTGAATAAAAAAGTTTGAAAAAAATTATTGTGTTGTGAGAAGTGAAGAGATATTGCCAAAACATTTTAGAAGCTTCTTCTCTGAAAAGATGCTGTCCCACTTGAATTCTAATTTGTGCTTATCCATAGCTTCAAACGACTTTATTATAGACAATAATAAGGAAAGTACCAATTTAGCCTGACTTGACGTTACATGTCTTGACTGTGTGGATTTTATATTTAACAAATTTTGTTAGGCAATTTTTCTTTGAATTTTATATACTACTAATCCTTCTATGAAAAGGGCAAGGGGATATTGTGCACTCTTAAAAAGGAAGGAAATTCTGAAGAATCAAAACATTTTCCCGAAAAAACAAACCAAAAAAATGCAAGAAATGGAAGAAAAAACAAACCAAAAAATGCAAGAATTGGAAGAAAAAACAAACCAAAAAAGGCACGAAATGGAAGAAGAAATGAAGCAAAAAATGCAAGAAATGGAAGAAAAAGCAAAGCAAAAAATGCAAGAATTAGAAGAAGAAACATACCAAATAAGGCAGGAAATGGAAGAAGAAACAAAGCAAAAAATGCAAGAAATGGTAGAAAAAACAAAGCAAAAAATGAAAAAAATGGAGGAAGAAACAAACCAAAAAAGGCAGGAAATGGAAGAAGAAACAAAGCACAAAATCCAAGAAATGGAACAAAAAGCTAACCAAAAAATGCAAGAAATGGAAGAAAGAACAAACCAAAAAATTCATAAAAGGCAACAAATGGACGAACAGATAAACAGAAAATTGCAAGAAGCAATGCAAACGCTGCAAGGGTTGAAAACTGAAATAGAGTCACTAAAAAAAACACAATCTGAAGAAAGGCAGAAAATAGAAAAGCTGGACAAATAGTCAGGCACTACCAATACAAGCATTACCAACAGAATAGAAGAGATGGAAGAGAGAATCTCAAGTGTTGAAGATACATTAGGAGAAATGGATTTATCAACCAAAGAAAACCTTAAATCCAACAAATCCTTAACACAAAACATCCAGGAATTATGGGACACCATGAAAAGACCAAACCTAAGAATAATAGGTATAGAAGAAGGAGAAGAAATCCACCTCAAAGGGGCAGAAGGCATATTCAACAAAATCATAGAAGAAAACTTTCCCAACCTTAAGAAAGACATGCCAATGAAGGTACAAGAAGCCTACAGAACACCAAATAGAGTGGACCACAAAAAAAAATCCCCTCGCCACATAATAATCAAGACCCCAAACATACAGAATAAAGAAAGAATATTAAGAGCAGCTAAGGAAAAAGGTCAAGTAACATATAAAGGCAGACCTATCAGAATTACACCTGATTTCTCCATGGAAACTCTGAAAGCCAGAAGGTCCTGGATAGATATTCTACCTACACTAAGAGACCATGGATGCCAGCCCAGACTACTATACCCGGCAAAGCTCTCAATCACTATAGACGGAGAAAACAAGATATTCCATGACAAAACTAGATTCAACCAATATGTGTCCACTAACCCAGCCCTACAGAAAATTTTAGAAGGAAAACTCCAACCCAAGGAAGCTAATTACAACCAGAAAAACATAAGCATTAGAGAATCCCTCTCTACCAACAGCCAAAAGAACAAAGGGGTGAAATTCCACCCATAATTCCACCAACAACAGCCATCGCAAATCGAAGAAGGATGAGCAATCAATGGTCATTAATATCCCTCAATATTAACGGCCTTAACGCACCCATAAAAAGACACAGACTAGCAGAATGGATTCGAAGACAAAACCCTTCCTTCTGCTGCATACAAGAAACACACCTCACCCTCAAAGACAGACATTACTTGAGAGTTAAAGGTTGGGAAAATATTTTTCAATCAAATGGACCCAAGAAACAAGCAGGGGTAGCAATCCTAATATCTAACAAACTAGACTTTAAAATAAAATCAATCAAAAGAGATGAAGTAGGTCATTACATACTCATCACAGGTGAAACCCACCAAGATGAAGTGTCTATCCTGAACATCTATGCCCCCAATACAAAGGCATCCACATTCGTTAAAGAAACATTATTAGAACTTAAATCTCATCTAAAGCCCCACACAGTTATAGTGGGAGATTTCAACACACCACTCTCACCACTAGACAAGAATACCAGACAGAAACTCAACAAAGAAGCAAAGGGTCTAATAGAAGTAATGACCCAACTGGGATTAACAGATATCTATAGAACATTTCATCCACATAAAAAAGAATATACCTTCTTCTCACCACCACATGGAACCTTCTCAAAAATCGACCACATACTTGGCAACATATCAAACCTCAGCAGCTACAAAAAAAATTGGAATAACTCCATGCATCTTATCAGACCACCATGCCTTAAGATTAGAATTCAACAACAACACAAATTGCAGAAAACCTACAAACTCATGGAAATTGAATAATGCTCAACTGCACCATCCCTGGGTCAAAGAGGAAATAAAAAAAGAAATTAAAGACTTCCTCGAATTCAATGAGAATGAAGACACAACATACCCAAACCTATGGGACACTTTGAAAGCAGTGCTACGGGGGAAGTTCATAGCACTAAGTGCTCACATGAAGAAACAGGAAAACAGTTATACCAGAGAATTAACATCACAGCTAAAAGCTCTAGAACACAAAGAAGCAAACTCCCCCAGGAGGAGTAGACGCCAGGAAATATTCAAATTGAGGGCTGAAATCAACAAAGTAGAAACCAGGAAAACAATACAAAGAATCAATGCAACGAAGAGTTGGTTCTTTGAGAAAATCAACAAGATAGACAAACCTTTGTCCAAACTTACCAAACAGCAGAGAGTGAACACGCAAATTAACAAAATCAGAAATGAAAAGGGGGACATAACAACAGACTCTGAGGAAATCCAGAGAATCATTAGGTCATACTTTGAAAACCTGTACTCCACAAAATTCGAAAATTTAAAGGAAATGGATGACTTCCTGGATAGCTATCACTTGCCAAAACTAAATCAAGAACAGGTAAGCAATTTAAATAGACCTATAACCCCTATGGAAATAGAAGCTGTCATCAAAAGTCTCCCAACCAAAAAAAGTCCAGGTCCAGATGGCCTCAGTGCAGAATTCTACCACAAATTCAAAGAACAGCTTATACCAATTCTTCTCAAAGTGTTCCACACAATAGAAGCAGAAGGGTCTTTGCCAAACTCTTTCTATGAGGCTTCAATAACCTTGATCCCCAAGCCACACAAAGATACAACCAAGAAAGAGAACTTCAGACCAATATCCCTCATGAACATTGATGCAAAAATACTCAATAAAATACTGGCAAATCGGATCCAAGAACACATCAAAACAATCATTCACCACGATCAAGTAGGTTTCATCCCAGGGATGCAGGGATGGTTCAACATACGAAAATCCATCAACGTAATCCACCATATAAACAAGCTGAAAAACAAAAATCACATGATCATCTCACTAGATGCTGAAAAAGCCTTTGACAAAATCCAACACCCCTTCATGATAAAGGTC